ATGAAAGTGTGGCGATCGCGACAGTCTTCATTCGTCGCATATTTTCATCGAGACTTCAAGTGGGTAAGAACTCTACGCGTCGTTCTCAACTTACCTTGGTTTCGACTAAGCAACTAAGCGTGTAAACGCTTATCTTTTACGGTTGCTCCACTGACAAGCAAATCGCACAGTTGCATCGGTTCACTTGTTCTAAACTTTTTCTACTGTACGTTTCAGTATTAAGGATCATGTCCACTGTTTCTCAAGTTGCCTAGCAAATGTCGTAGTACGTAAATATTTCGATCCCGTCCTTAGCATCTTCGATCGCTGTAAACAGTCTTGTTATGCAAACTTATTTTTGCAATCTGAACTCATTGTTTGTTATTACTGTCCAAAAGTCATCACGCGTACAATAACAAGAAGAGCATGTGGATGTTTGCGAGAGCAGTCACCTGCCAGATGATATGTGGTTTCGAGAGGATATGGAGACGGTAATCGACGAATGTTTTCGGTAGAGATGCTGGACCTGTGCCAAATACCGCCTTTTCCAGATGCATACAAATAGGCTCGTTAATTGTTGTCCAGGTTCGCCCTTGCCCATGTACGTCGGCTATGCAGGTTCACTCGTGCGTCACCAATGTAGGTTATCCTACTTGTTAAGTCATACAGCACGCAGTCATTATTGTACATTAACTTCATCATATCATTGTTAAAGGACAGTTGCGAATTGTACATTAGTTCAGTATCACCGTCACTACGTCAAGCTTTCCATCAGCCCAGTGCATCCTCCTGATCATCATCCTGATCCTCATCCTCGTGTCAATGTTTATTGTTCATCAATTGGTCTGCGGTGTGTTGTCAGTAGCGGCGACTATCCTTAAATGCGTTCTGTCCGAAACGCTATCGGTGGGATGTAAAAGTTCCTCCCACACGGTACGCCATACGTAGAAGGCCGCTAGCCGACCAACCTATGCTGTGTATTTGTTAAGCCGCTGTAGGCTTATCATTTCTCAGTCGTTATCTTTTTCGTCTACAATCTCTTAGACAATGGTGGCACCCATCGATGCTGAAACTTCACGTTGCAGATGTATCGTTACCCAAGAGCAGCCGCCTGACCGTGTTCCGCAAATATCCCATCTCGTTCGCAGTCATTTCTACCATCTGTGTTTAGGTAACTTGCTATCCTCATCGATTAACGTGTAAGTGCACCCATCTGCTCTACATACGATCCCTAGCTTAGCCTACTGCAGGGCTCATCTGCATCTCACTCTTCTGATGTTCTAGCCCTCGGCATCTGGGCCACTGTACGCGCCAATGAGGGCGCCATCGTTTGTATCCCCTTACTTGTCATTGTTACCAAGTTGCTGTTATCATAGCTAATGTTGTAATAGTACTATTTACAATTCTTTTATGCCTTCGTAAGCCTCGCTTTAGTAGTAGGTGCATCACCTCATAGCCTTGTACTTGCCTTATTTGTCTGTCAGTTGTTCTCTGTCGATATTAGTGTTGTTTTGATGTTGCATTTATGTCTATAAACGGTTTAATTACCCAAGTTGAGGTATTGCCTTGTGACAACTACGAAAAGTTCCGTGTGGCATTTTCTTACGAAGTCGAGCATTCTGCTAAAAGCTAATGATTATTCGGTGCCGAGAACTGACTTAAAGGCCTATTTTCGACTAGCAACTGCATTATTCTGGTGCATTGTCCGAATCAGTAAAGTTTGGTGCAACAACCAAGCTACTGTTTATGAAGTCACAGGACAATAAGTCTGAAACGGCGAAAGCAGTACGTTTACTTTCGCTTATAATGACTTCCTCAATGTCTTCACGTCAAGGAGCTTTAACAAGGGCTACCAACCGTCTCCTAAATAATCTTGACGACAGTGAACTCTTAGCATTGTCCTAAGTAGAGCTTTCCTATGATGAATTCGACCGCATTTCCTACGTCAATACGCTAATAAAGAGCATCACGAATGCAATATTCGCCATTCAGTTCGAAATGGAAAACGTCCAAATAGCACTCGATAAGTATAGTGAAGAAGCGGATCACCTTGATCCTAAAATCCCATTATTAGAGGATGCACGCGATAGAATTAATGCAAACACCGAAAAAATACTCGAATTACTTGATAGAGCCGCACGTTATCTCTTCAAGTTCTTCGAACTAAAGAACACTTTAGAAGATACAGAAAACATCGTTTCGAGTAGTACAAATTTCAGTCGTTCAGCAGTAAAGCTCCCACCTTTACCTATTCCAAAATTCAGCGGAAAACTATGGGAGTGGCACACCTTATGGGAAGCGTTCAACCACTCAGTGCACTCAAAAAAAATGGACGACTTCTTGGAAATGAACTACCTATTAGATTCTCTCGAAGGGAAAGCAAAAGCTTCCGCTAATCAATACAGAATAACACGAGAATCCTACCAAATGGTTATCACCTATCTAAAGCAGAAGCACGCTAACAAACAAGGTCTGCTGGACGATTTACTCAACAGAGTCCAGACGACCAAAGCGAAGAGCGACCGCCTTGAAGATCAGCTGACAGTGTGCGAGCATTTGTTTTCCGTAATCAGCCACTCACTTGGCACACAATGGGGAATTTGTAGACACCATGTACCTGCAAAATCAACATTTTACGAAATTTACGAGTGACATCCAAAGACACGTACTAAATCAAAGGACTCGAGAATCCGATGAAACATACAAAACCGAAGATTTTTTAAAATCTATCAGTGAATATATAAGCAGGGAGCTCAGGATACAACAACAGCTGGAAAGAAACATCAGTGTTACATCAGACTTGAGAGGTGCTCGAAATAGAGCCCTACAGCAAAATTTTAGGCCTCAAACCCGCATGTACACGAGCAAAATGTATCCATGATTCTATTGTGGAACACAAGGACATTTCCCAATTGACTGCAAAAAAGTGCGAACATATGAAGAAAGAGTACAGATTGCGAAAAGTCGGAATCTTTGCTTTAACTCTGGATCAAAGTTTCACCAAACATCGGCTTGCAAAGGCGGGTGCTGCCGAGTATGCAGTAAACGTGGACATCACACGTTCATTTGTAAGCGCCAACAACCTTTCAAAGAACAGCTTAATCAGTAGACCAACGAGACAAACGAAAAGTGCCTGTCAACACTACGAAAGGCAAGAAGACTACGCAATCACGAATCACTGCAGTAGAATCCCAACAAAACTATCAGAATGATACGGCCATACTCTACGCAATGAAAGAAGACACAACGAATGTCCAAGTTTTGGCAGGACAAGTGCAGATTTTCAACCCATTCAGTCAGACAAATGAATCAGTAGCTCTCTTGCTTGATACAGGATCCGATCGTTCATTTATCACCAACGAATTGGCTGAACGTCTTCATTTACGAAATATTGATTCCGTAGAATTATCCGTTAACACGTTCGCTGCTCTTAACGAAGTCAAAAAGAACTGTGGAGTTGCCGCAGTAAAATTGTGTGATGTCTATGGAACGCAACATGAAATCACAGTAACTAGGATCGAGACCATCTCCAAACCTCTGAAGCGTATACCTCTCAGCCAGAAAGGTAAGAACTTCCTCCGTCATAACAATATTAAATTGTCGATCGATCCTGACTGTAACAGCGTACATCCACAAATCCTGCTCGGATGTTCAGATGTATTTTCTCTACTTAATAGTAACCTAAGGCAGAATAAAACATTACCATCGGAATTAATGTTAGCTCCCTCTAAACTAGGTTACCTAGTAGTAGGAGCCAACCATAAGCGGCACATTAAATCGCAAGAAAGTACACTCCTTGTCACAGAGAGTACAGTACCCAACCCTCAACCTTATGAACAACAATCATGGGAAGAGTTTTGCACACTAGAATCATCAGGATTTAATGAATTTACGAGATTGAAAAGAAAGAACAAGAGCAGCAAAATGCTGAAATTTGGGAACAGTTTGCGAAAACGATAAAGAGACGGGACGATAGTTATTATGTGAGACTTCCGTGGAAAAACAACTCAACTACACTTCCTGAGAACAAATGCATGGCATTTAGGCGATTGCAAGTGACGATCACCACACAGACGAAAAATTCTCCCCTGCTAGAAAAATATAAGGAAACGATAATACAACAACTAAATGGGAACTTTATTGAGGAAGTCGATTAATCGATACGCCAACAAGGTGTAATTATTCACTATCTACCGCATTGCGCCGAGGTAACTCCACATGAGGAAACCACAAAATTACGATTCGTTTACGATGCATCCGCGCACCATGGAGTTAGCAAATTGATATCAGATTGATTTAGATTAAAAAAGAAGAACACTGATGAGATATGTGAGGGAGCCTCGACAGTCGTTGCACAATTGAAATATGCATTCAGTCGTCTCCCCGATGTTTAAATGTGGAGAAAGCATATTTCACCCGCAAGCAGTTGATCAACACCGAACACTTCATCCTTGTATTCATCCTTTACGGCAGAAATCATCGCGGGTTGACCGAATCTAGGTGGATTTTTTACCTTACGAATGGAAATATGCCTGCCACAGAATTGCTAAAACACTCTGTCCTAGTTGGTCTTTTAATTGTTTCCGCTATCCTAGCTGAGTAATATATTATTAAAGAATAAATCGAAGTACATGTGAGTGAAGAAATTGTGGCGATCGCGACAGTCTTCATTCATCGCATATTTTCATCGAGACTTCAAGTGGGTAAGAACTCTACGCGTCGTTCTCGACTTACCTCGGTTTCGACTAAGCAACTAAGCGTGTAAACGTTTATCTTTTACGGTTGCTCCACTGACAAGCAAATCGCACAGTTGCATCGGTTCACTTGTTCTAAACTTTTACGCGTTATTTTCAATGATAAACGAAATATGTATGGTTTATTGCGAGCGTGTAAGTGGATTTCGAACTTTTCAAATCAACTTTTAGGAGTGCTGATCTTCAACAACTCGCTGAGGTGCTTTAGAAAATTCTTTGACATTTTGAGGGAAAACAGGCGACTAAGCCTTCCATTTGGGGAACAGTATGGTCGATTACGAGAATCCATTTCACTACAATTTTTTCGCCTTCTACATATTCTTCGGCTGTATTCTTTTGGTGTTGAATTTGCAAACGATGCTGGTGAGTTTGTGCGCACTGTTATCCTAATTTTTAAGGCCTTCTAGAAAGATATATTGATTGATCACAGCAGTCTATCCTACTCTATTTGTAAAGTACGGCAAAGTCTTTCAATTTAACTGCTGTGAATACTTTATGGGATGGTTCACAGTGTATTTTGTAATCTCCAGGTTATTCGACGATCCAAGTGTCTGTGGGCTCTTTCCGCTTATCGTCTCATCTTCTTTAGTTCCGCTGCTGATGCTGTGAATTGTGGAGCTCAAGTCGCTGCAGTGGCCATCACTATCCGCACTCCTGTCATTCATCCAACTTTAAATTCGGTAGGGGTTTACGTTTGCCTTCTTCACTCGTTCGTTTTTGCTCAACGCTTTGATGGTCATATTTATTAGTGAAAGCGCTGGCTTGAACGAGATCCCACACGTGACTGCTCTAAGAAAATGTAAAATATAGTTGTAGAGAGAAGTGATGATTCTGTTTCCTTCTGTTTCTTGTCTGTTTCTCTCAAACAGTGTTTAGTTTTTGGGCGCACTCTTTCAAACGTCTTATGCAATGGAGTATCCTACTATACTCATCCTCGCCTCTAATCGGTTCATCGCAGTGGTTTTCCCAAAAAAGATGGATCATGTATTTGACAAAAAGAAGACAATGGTATGATGCTTCGCTAACTACCAAGTCAAACATATTTCATTTCCTTAGCGTTAAAGAAAGGACTTTCAGATAATTTTAATTTTGTGCTGCCTTTTTGGTGCTTTCAATGGCGCACTCTGCCTTTCTGGAGAAATTCGATCGATATGGGACCCATATATTCCGAAATTCTATTTCACAAGTGGGTTCTATTATACAGTTGCTGGGCGGTGGTAGGACAAATACTTCGTATGAACTTCAGGAACATGTAGGGGTCTCTAGCCCAAAGCTTTACCACATTCATCTTCTATTACCTTCTCGTTCACTTAATTAGGTTGTATGCTTCCGTACGTCGTACCAATACGCGGTTCGTCGAACTCTTTGGAATCTTCATGAAATACAGCATTCGATTGAGAACGCTTAAATCTGTAGTGAACATTCCATCATCTCGAGCCTCTTGCAGACGAATCGTCTTTTACTGCCAACTTTTTGCGCGCTATGGACTTATACTACGGCGAATTTGTGTATATTACGAGTTTCATCATCTACCTTATCATCATCGTCTTTCTGCTGTGCAACGTATGTGAATGCCTCTTGTTCTCACTCAGTGATTTTTAAGCCAGTTGTTTCATATTGCTTTTTGAAAAATACCACGTTTTATTAATGGATGATTTTAGAGACAACTCATCAGATCTGTGCGCGTCGAGCTTCCGCTCCTGTTGCACTCTTTCCAGATATTTACGCTGTCGGGAATCTTGCTTTATTTATGGTTCTATCCCGTTTCTGATTCCGCCCTTTACAATCATATCATTAATGCTCTCGTCATTTTCCGCTTTGGTGCAACAACCATTTCACTTTTAATGACAAACAGGTATAGTACAGCTCAATACTTATGGCTACATTTTTTAGTCCCAATATTCAAATGTTGTCTAGAAATGCTCTATGATAAATCAACTTCTCTAAATACTTGATGGGTCGTCTTCACGAAGAATTGCGCAACCAGAAACCTATCTAATAAGTAATTTGCTCACCGGGCAAAATTTCCTTTTCTGGAGACTCGAGAGTGGCTCTAGGACTTTCTTTCGATGTCACTACCGGGCTTCGCGGGACTACGCTTTTGCCAATATGGCACTGACAGCTTCAACGTACCACTAAATTTGACGAATGCTGCTCATGTGAGCCATAATTTGCTGGCCACGCGGAATTCTGGGAGCAACCCTGCTCTATAGGTCGCATTATACTCTAAACGGAATAAAGAGAAGCATCAACAACAGCACAATTTCATGCCGATCAAGGTAGAACGTCTTATTCGCTGGTATTAAGTGTTCAACGAAGTAAACATCTAAAGCATGGCATCAGTAGACCGACCGCTTGTTCAAAAACCCAGGGATAGTAGACAAAAAGGATCTGAACCTAACCCAAAAGTATACCGCTGTCTTCTTGAGCGCGTTCCCCGAGAAGACGGTGATGCGTGTTTGTAGCTCAAGTGAATCACCTTAGCATTGCGAGAAACGAAATGCGAAATCGTACGCCCAGCCTTCGTCACGCAGTGGAAATACCACAACATTGGATGTCTTTTCTGATAAATGAAATAAATAGTAAACGTTCTTGTAAACTCGACTCATGAAACAAATTCTTCTCAATGAGCTCCTTAAGCATTTCCGTATTTATTGTTCCGGTAGTGTAAGGCAGACAATGTTACTGTGGACAGGATTCGAAGAAGTCTCTGCTATATTTCCACTTTCAAGTTCCGACATAGGCCTCTTATCTGAGGTCCTATGCACTACTTCTTTGCGAGTTATTGTGTCCTTAAAACTAATTCCCACAATTTCTGATTAATGTTCTAGAGGAAGTTTCAAATATTCATCACACCCGTATGAAATACTGAGATCTTTGCAAACCTCCGGACCACAGGTGTATGCAGTGGAGAACGAACACGCGCTATTGTCCTTACCGGGGAGCAGCGCCCTTCACCACTACACCATCCGGATCCTTCGCTTCGCGTGTCTCTCAGCTACTTCTATCGATCTTTTTTGCCGATAGAAGTAGCTGAGATACACGCAGAGCGAAAGACCCGGATGGTGTAGTCGTGAAGTGCGCTGCTTCCCGGTAAGGACAACAGCGCGTATTCGTTCTCCACTGCATGCACCTGTGATCCGGAGTTTTGCAAATATATCAGCATTTCATACGAGTTATATTTCGCAACATAACCTGCCATTAAGAAGAAAAAGGCAGTAAATAAAAGAGTTAAGATTCATCACACCGTTTGTAATTATTTCGCAATTACCCCCTCCATATTGAATTGCCATCTCCTACATTCAATCTACACCTCGTGCACATTGTTTACATTCCAAGTAGTCCTCCGGAATAATCCCTTGGCCAACATAGCATTCATGTACAATCATGGATGTTTCATCATCCAACAAATCCTTCATGTATTTCATCACTACTGGTTTGGAAAAATCATCGGTGTCGGACGATGTTCCGCAGGTTTTCACTGATAATCTACGTCTTTCCTTCGCCGCATAGAAAACGTCGCTTGCATGTGTCTTTGTGTGGGATATACTTGCTATATAGCATCATTCCTCTGGACGACACCAAAGGATCTTCAATAGAGGCGTCTCTGATATACGTGCCTACTCCGTTGCATTTACTCTTGATAAGTTTAGAATGTGAACTGCGAAGACGGTATCTAAGTATCTTAGTGCCCAAGAAATAAGTTTACAGGTCATGTGCAAATTTTTTTTTTCTGCAAGCGGTTATATTATCTCCAAAATAAAGCCTCTTCAGCGGCTTTCTAAACACGTTTCTTAGCACGGGTTGTAATATAGATAGAGCCATTGCATGAGGCGTGACAGAAGTCCAGTAACTGTTCAATCGTGGGAGTCTAACAATTCCTTTGAATATGTGGTCCGAATAGCCTTTCAATGCCTTGAAATGTTGCCGGTTCACATGCTGGTCCTTTTGCTCCATATCGTAAATTCCATTCCACAAAATTTCGGGGAGTGGTGCCTGCGAAGAGAAACAATCGATCTACACCAAATGATCAAGATTTCATTCGACATGAAGCAACAAACTGTTTGATTACTATGTTTAACGTTTTGTTTTCTGCCTTCTATAATTTTCATGGCAGGTTACTAAGTAAGCGAAATACAACCACAACG